TTTATTATTAACAGCTTTTGGTTCGTTTAATTCTTCCTCTAACATGCTGACCCATTCGTCGGTTGTACCTTGCACAAAGTAATCTACCATATCAAACATTTCTTTTGTTTTGAGGATGGGTAATGATTATGAAATTTGAGATTGAATGTTTGGTTTTTGAGAAAGATTTTTGATGGTTTTTTAGAAAATTAATGGGATTTTGAGATTGGTTAATGATTATGTGCTTATGAATTTGGATGATAAGTATCGATTCGAAAAATGGTTATGGATTCTGAAAGTAGTTATATTATATTTCATATAATATATGTATGTGTTAATGTAATGGTTAGAATTATAACGGGAGATGACATTCTAGAAAAAATTTCTTTGATATAATTTCTTGCTTAAATTACTAATCAAAGTATCCAGAAACTTTTATATCATTTTTATTCACATTTAAAAGAAACTTTTAATTTTTTAATAAATAAATGATAATGATAAATGAACTTGCCCGAAAGTTTTTTGTGCAAATATTCTTCCTTTACAATTAAAATTTTGGGGTGGGTGTTTGGATATGAAATTCTGATTGGCTAATTTGAATTTCACGTATTAGTATGTGAATTCACATAAATTTCACGCACAACATTTGCAAAAGACATAACTAACATATCTAGTGAATTTGCCAAAATACCAAAACTATCCCATGCCTATTTATTAATTCAGTAAAAGGCGATATATTTACCCCATACACAAAGACTTCTATTAAGTGTTAATACTATGACAGAAACCAAAAAGAATATACTCGGGACTGGAAATGGCAATCTGTCCATTTCTAATTTGCTGAAAATTACAGGAATACTGGCAAGACCAAAATTATTCAAACAGAAGAATTTGTTTTAGAAGAAAAAATTAAACTTCAGTAACAAATTTGTTGAAAAAGTTTTCCAATTTCTGAAATGATAAAGCAGGGTCCTTTACGAGGTTTAGAAGATTTTGCATATACATGTTCCTTTTTTACAGCATCAGTAGGCGTCATTCCTATTAACTGAGTTACAGTATTATTTAATATATTAATTACGGTAGAAAGATTTTTTTTCCAAATTCGAGACCTTTGAGGTATAGGCAATAATAATTCCTGCGCATCTTGTATTTGAAACAATTTTTTACTTAAAGTCTTATTAAAGCTTTCGTTAGGACCCATAGTATTATTAGAATTAGCCTTCTGATTTTTTATTTTACGTTTTTTTAAGAGTTTTTCAAAATGACCTTTAAATTCCAAGCCTTTATCTGTAATTACTAATTTTAACTTATCCCATCTAAAAAGATTATTAGGATCGTTTAAAAGTTTTTCAAAGGCATCGGCAACTACAGATGAAGTTAGTACACCTTCTAGAGAAAAATCTTCCATATTCAAAACATCAAGAGTAGTTCCAATTGGAACGGCACCTTTATATCGAGAAGCTATATCTATACAAGTAAGGCAAAACATATAAGTTATTCCACCTACCTTTTCAAATGGCATATAAAGAATATCAGCTTGAATAACTTCCATTGGAACCGTAATATTTATAAATGATGCACATGGAATAAATTTTGGCCGAGGCTTATGGATCTGAAAAATAGTCTGTTTATTTAACCAATTTTTTATATCAGTTAACGAAAAATTATAACCTGCATTTTTACATGCATTATACATTTTTTCAGCTGTTCTATAATAACCTTCAGGTTTATAGTAAATCTCACGCAAAATAATATTACGTTCTACTGCAGGATCAATTGATATTATAGGAACTAATGTCATCTTTAGAAGAACAAATCAACAAATTAGAAAAAATACTATCTAATAATGAGGCATATATTAATTATTTAGAAAAAGAAATCTCAAATCGGGATGAAGAGTTGGAGGAGATAGAAATACTTCGTAAGAATAATATGAGCTTACAAAAGCGTCTAAAAAAAGCTTTGTTAGATATTAACTATAAAGAAGAAATATTGGTTATACTAGATAATAAAATATATGATCTTCAAGAAGAAATAAATACTTAAAAAATAGAATCCAAAATATAACGTCCAGAAAAAAATCAACAATGGATGAAATCCAAACTTTAGGCGAAACAATTCAAAATGCATTCGTTAATATCAATAGTATATTTCAAAGAACACCAGCCATACCTAGATCAATTATTGATAGAGAAATTACTGATATAAGAAATGCTGTAACTAGACTCCAAGGAATTTCAAACTTTGAAAAAAATCGAGCAAATACTGCAGAAGCTAAAATTAACCAAGATACCAAACTATTTTAAGATTAAATTCTACAGTACAAAAATCCAATGATGAAATGAGGTTAATGACAATGGCATACTATAATGAAAAGGAAGAACGTCGGCATTGGTATTTCTCATACAAAGATAAGCATAGAAGGGTTGGCGACTTAATAAGAGAAAAATTTGCATCCAAATTAGTAATACACAATTATAACCAGAAATTTCAGCAATATCGGAATCTTAGTAGAAATTTACAACAAAAATTAAATACTTGTCAGAATGATTTATTTCTTAACGACATTCAAATTGATAATAAATGGGGCAAATGGAAAAATCGATCCAGAAATTATGAGCAAATTATTATTAATCAAAATCAAAATATTTTAAATTTGCAAAATAATATAGCAAATCAACCAAACATGGCTACTATTCATGAAATATATTTAATATTACATCCGCCACTTAGTCAAATTCCCAATTATATAGGAAAAGAACCTCCAGATGAGTATTATCAAAAAATTATAAATGTTATTGATTCTATAAATACTGTAACTACGGCTGCCAATAATGCTAATGCAAATACTTTTACTGATGCTCATATATGCGATATCTTAAAAGGTAAAATGGGCGAAAAGTTTTCTCCTGTACCAGCTAATGATCAATATACTGTAGGCAATCCTGCTATTGATTCTCCAGCAACTTTTCGAGTTTGGCTTCGTCATAAATATCGAGAAGTAACATCAGGAAATTCAGAATTGGCTTTACAATCATTGATGCAAGAAAAATTTAATCCATTAGATACTCCAGATACTTATGAAACTAGAATCCGAAAAATTATAGTTGGTTTTCAAGCTGATATGGTTATACCAGCATTATATACCCATCTTCCTCCCGATCTTCGTAGTACTGTAAAAATGTATATGTCAATAAGAGGTGGCAATACAACTATAGATAATTTCTTTGCAGACTTAAAAAAATGCTGGATTGAACGGCAAGCTGGAAATAATAGTATACAACCGACATTAATAAATCAACAACAAACCAATAATGCATTAGATATATTAGCTAATTTAGCACAACGTTTGGGTTATTCAGGGGATTTAACTGATTATAATCAAATGCAAAAATATATTGAAAATGATCTTTATAGAAATTATGGAAGGCAAATTCATAATATGAAAAATGAACCATTTGAACCGCAAAGAAAAATATATGCTACAAAACAACCCGCTTCTAGAAAGGTAATTATAACAAATAAAAATTCAAGACAATGCTCAATTTGTAAAAAAGTTGGACATACAAAAATTAATTGCCCCAAACTTAAAAGAGTTAGAAGAGTTAATAATATTTCTCAATATGAAAATAACGAAAATGATGAAAATGAAGAATATATAGAATATGTAGAATATGATGAGGAAGAAATAATAGATGCGGATAATGAAGAAGTAATTTTAGAAGATGATGAAAATGAATATATCGATTTTGAACCGCAAGAAACAAACTGTTTTAATATAAAAAAAAAAGAGGCGTTTCTAGGATTCCTATAAAAAACAAAGCTATCAAGTCAACTAAGAAAAAAATGATAGATGAAAATCAAGTATTCTTAGAATCGATTAAATATATAATATCATCATTAATTCCACATTGTCCAAAAGAAATTCTTTCAGAGTTATATGCATTTATTAGAAAATTATTTCCAGAAATGGAAAACACATTCCACTCATATTATACAAAAAATTATTCTAGTAAAGAAAGAGATATGGTATGGAAAAATCTTATTAAGAAATATCAATTTATTTTAGTACCGTTGATTTATATTATTAATAGCCATAAAGAAAGTCAAAGTCAGGAATCTATTACTGATAACCGTCCTTTAAACCATGCAATAAAATTATATCAAGAAGCGCAATTAATTCGAGATTGGCCTAATCCTTTAGAAATTAATTTCCTGCAAATAAAAGAACCAAACAACTATGCAACTATTCCATGTAAAATATATGATTTAGAAATACCTCATGCTTTACTTGATACGGGTTCTGATGGATCTCATCTTTCTGATAATATTGCAGATTATATTGAAAAATATTTTGGTTTAAAAATGGATAGAAAAAAGACTTATAGGCTTTCAGGAGCGGTTGGAGAAAAACAATCTATAGGGACATTTCATGATATTCCAATAACTATAGGTATAGGAAATGATACTGTAAATATTTCAGATGAATTTTCAGTTCTTCCAACGGAAAAAGATCATAATGGTAAAGATATATCATTATTTATTCTTGGTACCAGATGGCAACATCGTGCTGGATGGGAACCTATTGTAAAAGGCGAATTTAAAGCTTCTTGCAATGGAAAAACCATTACTATTCCACTTTCCGTTCATAAACCTCAGCAAAATGTTTTTAGCAAAGCTACCATCAATAATGTAGAAAAAAAAAATTAATTGATAGAACATGTCAATATTGTAATCGGTCTTTCAAATATCCTTGTAGATTGAAACCGCATTTAAAAAACTGTAAGCATAGAAAAAATGAAAATAACAGTGTTTCTACAGTTAATGAAAATGTTTTGACAGCAATTAACAGTGTTTCAACAGTTAATGAAAATGTTTTAACAGCAAATAACAGTGTTTCAACAAAAAATAATAGCAGAGCTAGCATGGCCAACGTTCTTACAGTTCCTATTCGATTATCATTAGCATAATTGTACTTAGCCATGTAGATTTTTTCTAAACGTAAATTTTTTTTGATATTCCAGATTAGTTTCTGAATTATAGTACCTATTTGCCCATAAACCTTTTTCAGCATAGGAAAAATAACTTTCTGGCTCAATTGTTCCATCCCTACCGCCATGTGGATTGAAAGATATAATGTGGTCATTGAGATTGATTATTTTTTGGTCCTTAGCATCTATAATATCTTCTAATTGCTGACATTTATTTCCTAACTTATTAATTTTTTCCAAAGAAGATTTGTTGCTTTCCTTTAATGCTACTATATAATTTTTATATCTTTTATTATCAGATGATAATTTGGCGATTTTTTTATCCTTTTCTTCTAATGTTTTATTATAATTCTTGGTATTTTGTGTCTCCATTGCAGAAACTCTGGATTCATATTGATCTTCTAATTTTTGTTTCAAAATATATATATTTTTATTATTCTCATCAATAAGTTTATCATATTCGTTTTTTACATTACTAATCTCAGTATCTTTTTCATTGGTTAATTTTTGACGTTCAGCTTCAAGATATATCAAATTTTCTTGCTTTAGCCTATTAGTTAATTTCTGATTAAATATCTTTATATCTGCTGAAGAAGCTACATTATTACCAGTACAAAGTAAAGAAGATTCCGATTTTTGTGCATCCTGCTTATCTATCAATGTTACAGAATTGGATAATTTCGGTGGAGCCTGCTCTGATGAGTATTTTATACTTCGACGTTGTCTTTCTTTTTTCTTCTTATATTTTTCAACCTCATGTTTTAGAAAATTTTCAATTTCCGAGTTTATATTACCTACCTCAACCTCTGTTAAAGGATTATTTTTTCGTCTTGTAAGACGTTTCCAAGATTCTTGTATTATTGATGGTGGTAATTGCTCAACCAAGTTTGAATAATTTTTGTGGAATTCCATAGAATATTCCTATATAAGAATTCCAAAGAATTCCAAATAAAAAAATATTTATATTAATCATGTATAAATATCGTTCTTATAAAATTTTAATTTATCTAAAAAAGTATACTTTTAGTGATTGACATCCATAAATTAATTTCATACATAATTAATCTTATACATGAAGTATACATGAAGTGAAGTATACATGAAGTACACTTGAAGTATACTTGAAGTATGTTCATAAACCGTTAATATTATAATAGTTATATTATGTAAACACAGTTTAAATACACTTGAAGTACACTTGAAGTATACTTGATGTATACTTGATGTAACGTTGATAATTGTTATGTTGTACGATATAATTAATATTTTTTTTCGTAATACGTATAATTAATATTTTGGACGAATTTATTTTCATTTAATAAAAATGCCTATACCAATCAAAACTCATAATCCCGAAGCCTCGAATTTACATACTAATATTAGTAAAAGTATGCAAAATAATGTTTCTAGCCTTATTTCATCATTTATGTATAAAAAAATCAGAATTTCTTTACATGTATTGTTAGCTATAGTTAAGCCGGAAATTCATAAACTAATTATAGATTCAATGATGATTAATAATAATAGCGGAGCTAGCATGGCTAAAACAGTTTATAATATATCTAAAGTAGCTTCGTCTGATGAAGATGAAGATGAAGAAGAAGTTTAACCAAAAGTATGTAAAAAAATTATTTTTAGCGGAACTAGCATGGCTAAATAACGTCTCAAAATATATTATTATTATATCTGAAAAAAAAATCGTTATAATATGTCATATATCTTATTGGTATTCGGGTTTGAGAGTTAATTTCATAGCCCTTTTTTCTGCTTCTTCTTCTGACATTCCATTTGCTACAAATTTTTTCATTGCGTCAATGCGCCAATGGAAGTATGGTAAATATGATACCCCATCTTTGAAAATCCAGAATTTATCATTAACTGGCGCAACTGCCTTTTTTTCAGATTCAACTACAGATAATATATGATCTTTTGAACGAATACCAATATTCTTAGCATAATATACTTTATTATCAAATATACAACTATGGTATACTTGAGACATAGGAGCTGTATTATTAGGATAAGAATTTTGAGCCATTTCATTCATACCGTTTTTACTTACACCTTTATGTTTTGATTTTGTGGTTTTATCGGCCAATACATAATGGTAAAGTTTAGAGCGGATATGGTATGATTTTGAAATTGCATTATTGGGACATTCATCTTTGAATAATCCTAGAACTTTAGAATCGTTAAGATCAAATAAATCTGGTCTTTCTGCCATATCCTTATAAATATCCTCAGTTTTGGTCATAAATATAAAAGAATCTGTATCCATATAACCAAGAATAGCTTTGTCGCCATATTTTCCTTTTACATAATCATACCAGAATTTATACATATGCAATTTACTAAGTCCTAGAACTGATGCTCCAACAATTATTGGTTTATTAAGAGTTACCTCTTGTTTGCCTAAGTGAACTCCTACTAAATCTTCAGATAATTGTCGGGCATATTTAAATGATGGTTTATTTACTTTTTTTCGATATTTTTTCTCATCTTTTTTATCCCGCATTGGCATTAGTTTTACATCCTGATAATTTCGAACATTTTCCATAGTTTTACCAAAGGAGGCATTATTCATAAGTTTGAAGAAATTTTTCTCAAAATCGTTAACTGCTTTTTGCTGCATTTCAGTATTAAATTTGATATATGGTGCAAGCCAATTAGTTTGCTCAAATGATAAAATTTCATACACTTCATCTATAACTAAACCCAATTTTACATAATATTGAAGCTCTAGATAATGTATAACGTAATTATCCCTTGGGCCAAGATGAGTAACTAATTTCTTTGTTGATGAAAATCGATTATTATCTAATTTTTTTATTTGCTCTTTATTATGATAACTAAGCCAATCACGTTTTACTGCAATATTTTCAACTGCTGGTGGCAAATCCTTAAGTTTATCATGAGTACCTATAGGAAAATGCGCTTTTATATTTACAAAATATCCTCGACTGGCGTCAGATTTTGTTTTTTGAATTGTTTCAAGCCATTCAAATTGTAATTCTGGATTATCCTTTAAATGTGCTCTACGTGCCTCCCATTTATAATTCCTAATAGGAAGAAATTGACTCATAGCCCAACCATATAAATTATTTGCGTCGACATATGAAATCCATGTAGATGGTTTAGTTGGATCAAATTCATCTCCCATTTTTGGATTATTTGCTTTAAAATAACGATGACAAGCTACTGAAATACCTCCTCTTTTTGCTTTTTCAATAAAATCATGCATTGATATATCGGTAAAAAGCTCAATTTCAACTCCAGTCATTTTTAACATTGCATCCCATGACAATGAAGCTGTAGATACGTAATGACTTGGATCTAGTTTATATTGTTTCATGGAATTTTCTCGGAATGTATTCCATATATCTGAAAGAAGAAGCACATCTGTTTTTAGATATAAATCATGATAATCTCCTAAATTTTTACAATCAAATGTTTTCCAAATGTTTTGCGCTTGCTCATATTCTTTTTGTGATATTTTTCCACCAAGTTTACTATTAAATTTTTCAATAGGCGGAAGCTCAGTTTCTAAAAATCTTTCAAAAGAATCGATATATTCATAAGGATAAATTCCCTTTCGACAAAGCATTGCAATTTGTTCTTGTGTATAATTTTTATAATGTTTTACGGTTATTTTATGATTTTCAAGTGTTCCAAAACAACGTTCTTTATCTATTTCATGAAAATGAGAACATATTGTTTTTTTACATTTTATTGCACCCAAGTTATCGGCAAGACTTGATAAACTAGAATTCATAAATTGGTATGAATCCATGTATTTTAATTGTCCGACTTTCATTGTTTTATATCGTTCAAATGTTTCTGCAATAACACGAACTTGATGTGCGCTAGCTGATTTGGCTACTGATTGGCAAACTATATGAGAATCATATCCTCTAAAATTATGAATTATTACAGGAATTGGCATTTTCCATGGTTTAATTTGAAGTTGTAAATTACAATCACTATGTGCTGCTCCACGGAATTTTCCAGTTATATGGCAGTGGTCCCAAACCTTTATACCTTTACGTCTTTCAGCTTTAATATTTTCATCAATTTTTTCAACTTCAAACACTAATGTTGAAGTATCTTCTTTCTTCTTATACAGTTCTTCTATTTTGTTATTAAGAAGTTTGCATTTGTTTTCTAATTTAGCTATTTTTTCTTTATCTATTCTAAAAGCTTCATTGCAAATCCAGCATTTATCTGCATTATCGAATTTTTTTTGATACTCATTATTTACGATTTTATCTACTTTGATTTCAAGTACCTTGTTTATTTGTTTAAGCTCATAGTCCATTTTTCTTACAAATTCTTCTGAAGCATTAGGACCTCGATAAATAAATGGCCCCCAAGTTTCTCCAGTATCTATCCAATGAACTGAATAAGCAAAACTATTAGCAGTTTGTTCTGCTATTTTATGCATTTTTCCACCATAGTTTTCATCCTTTAAAATATGACTACATTCAAAATCTGCAATAATTACGCAAGGTGCATACATCATCCTAGAAAAGTTCTTAAATTTTTCAAAATTTTTTCCGCCTTTTTTTGGCATTGTAACTACTTGTGGGGCTTCTCCTAATCCTGGACAACTGTCTTTATGATTATTACATCCTGTTTCTGTTGTAAAGCTTATGAAACATCCATCACAAATAAATTTTTTTGTAGTATGCTTGGAGTCTTTGAATGCTAATTTATCGGGATTTTTTATCCATAAGAAATGCGTTTTTGAACCATACTTACCTTCCCTATCTATATTTGATATTAAATTTTCTTTATTATCAACGATTTTTTTTACTTTAGAAAGAGCCATAAGATTAATAATGTGTGGTCTTTTTTCGTGGCATTCATATGGCCTAGGATGATTACATCCCTCAATCTTGCATGAATTTGAAAGATATCGATTTTTGCTTGCTATTACTGGTTTTGGTTCGCAATTTTCTTCATTCCATTTCCATACATTTATTGATATTGTAGGATTTTGTTTTTCGATTTTTTCAAATGTTCTGGAGCATATAGGTGTTGGCATTGGAATACCATCCAAATTAACTATATTTAGATATGGTTTAATAACAGAAAGACGTTGTAGATTTTTTGTTATACCATCAAGAGTTGCAAAGTATGGACCAAATGCATATTTTAAACACATATCATCTCCTGTTTTAGAGTTATCTGGATTGATAGTACATTTAGTATTGGCAAGTCTTTTGGGTGTTGGTTCGAATGATCCTCCAACAGTGCGTCGATATGGGTATACTTCAATGAATAACATTTCAATTCGTTCAAGACACCATCCAGATCCTTTATCCATATATTCTATTATTTTATTATCAATTTCAACTGCTGAAAGTAAAATATGCTCGTCAATATCATTTTCCGATAATATAGTATGCATTTCCCCTCTAAGATAATCATGATTAATTGCTGAATAAATATATCCTGTTTCATCATTGCTAGGTATAACAAATGTAACAAATGCTATTATTGCACATTTTATTTGATCTTTTTTCTCAAGTTCTCGTTTTAGAACTTTTGTAATTTGTTCTCTAGCATTATCCATGAGTTGTGGCATATATGGAAGATTTTTGTATTTTTCCAGATTATCTACAAATTTATTAAAACTATATTTTGTATTTTCTATAGATGGAACTACCGCCTGCCAACATGTCATTGGAGTTAAATTTTGATGATCTCTTTCTGGATCTTTTTTAACACCATATTCTTCAAACCATATATCATCTGATGGCGGTTCAGTACAAGTAGGGAATAAATCTCCTTCATTTTCATATACAATTGATTTGAATTCTTTTTTCTTTGAATAATCCCATAAATCCAATTCTTTTAAATATTCAGCTAGATCAAAATCATCTATTTCATTTTGTATTGGGTTTGGTTCTGGTTCTGGTTCTGGAGTTGGTTCTTTTGGTTTGCATGGATATTTTCTATTAAGGTGTCTATCAAGGGCCTGTTGTTTTGCTTCTTTAGGAAATATTTTACCGCATCTGGGGCAAATGATATGTTCAACCATTTTTTATATATTTCTGTTAGAAAACATATGATCAATTTTGGTAGTATATTTTTTATGTTTTACTAATATATATTTTTTTTGTTCAAATTGAAAATTTTGCTTCTTAAATTTATTTTATATTTATGATCTTTTTTAGAAAACGCGTGTATTAATTAGTATTGTGTAGTATTTTCCAGAATGATCTGCTATTATTTTTATGTATTACGCAACTGTGGTACGAAAAAAATCAAAAAATTTAAATCCGTCGTAGTATGAAGAAAATTTTGCTACCCTCAACTTAACTTCCAAAAGCATTTTTAAATAATTCTTCTATACTGATAATAACTATTGTAGTAGAAGATAATCTAAAGTCATTTCTTAATATTCTATAACACAAAAAAAAGGTAGCAAAATTTATAGATGGTAGCAAAAAAATTTATATCTATTTTCTTTTTAATTAATTTTTGCACATTATATGAATAAATTATACTATTTGATTTGCTGGAGACATAAAAACTTCATTTCAACTACTTTATTTCTTGAATGTTTTAGCCTTTTTTAAGTTTATCTGATATATTATTTTTTTTTATTAACCTATAAAGTGATTAAATTGGTAAAAATATGTTTTATCTCTATTAATGTTTTTGGTTTTTTTATATAGAATTAAGCTTGTAAAATATATAAAAAAATTACGAAGCAAGTATAATTTATTGAGTTGCAAATTATGGTCCTAGAATTAAATTAAGCTTATTTGGATTCATTTAAAAAAATTCGGGTGTTTATAAAAAGTACGACGCAAATGCAAACTTGTCGTACCTCAAAGTACGAAGCAAATCAATTTTTTGATTACCTCAATTTTTTTAAATTCTCTAGAATTGCACAAAAGCAAAAATGGAGCTAATATAGCAAAAAGTACGACGCGGGGTAGCAAAAAAGTGTGCCAGAACATACATTTTTTCCCTACTATGTTACAAACAATAATTAATTATGTGTCACGTTTCCAGATGTAAATATTATTGTACTACATAAGACGTTGTATATGATTACGAAGTAAATTGTTACATTCAAATAGTTCAAAAAAATGTTTGAACCAGTTAAATTGCCAACACTGATGCTGGTAATGATGATTCATTTCTTACCAAAATTAGAATGGAGATTGTGATTGAATTTTATACATAGTGCCATGTATAGATACAGCTGGTCAGTTATAAGTAGCATGACGTAATTTCTTTGTGATTGGTCAATAATGATTGACAAATTTAATCAAGTTTATTGGCCAAAATAAAATTTTGATTTTTATCAATCGGAGACAATTAATTATGTTTAAAAATAAATCTTTAAAAGGGAATCTTTTATTTTGATGAATTGATAGTAATAAATATTAGCAATGTATCCATTTACATATTATGTTAATATATATTATATAAGTAAACAATACATGGTGACAAAATATTAATTACATATCTTATTAAAAAAATCAAGTATCATTAATAAATAAATATTTAAAATGATAAAATGACATGTTTGTATCTACCTCTAAATGGTTTCATATTATATAACCTAATTCAATTCTTAAATTTTTTCATAAAAATTGAATTTGCAAATAATATTTTAATTCAACTTATCTGTAATATTATCAGGTTCCTTGTCATTTTATATACTGTTAAGTTTGCTGTTTTTTTTTTCATTAAAATATATACATATATATATTCTAAATCTCTTTATTATAAATTTCATTCATAATACTGCCATTGGAAATGTTGATCAGGTTTGATCAGGGCATGGAGTGTGATAAAGAAGCTTGAAATTTATGTGCCTACAAAAAAAAATTTTGGATGACTATTGTAAAATCATATAAATAATGTAACAATTTGGAAGTTTAGAAATTCATTTTTAAAAAGATTAGATGAACATACATCAAAAGAAATCAACAGTTTTAATTCAAATGATTCTGATAAAGAAAATGATAAAAATGAGGCAAATCTAAATGTAAGTGATCAAGAAAGTTTATCATCAACATTATTGAGTGCTATTAATGAAATAAAGAATTGGTAGAGATTATGTTAAGTATATAAACTTAATTCGATAGTAAATTTGTTAAGAAATATTTTATTACCAATTGTTATTGTAAAATAATTATCTATAAGATAAGTGTTGGAAATAGTAAGATCACATAAGATCACATTTGCTAAAAAAAATAAGAATATTTTTTTTTTAACACAAATTAAAATATTTTCACATGACCAACTAATTTTTACTATGATAATATTGCAAAATTAATATAAATAATCATGTAATGAGGTCAATAAATGATCAACAAATAGAACTTCCATTATGCTGTTATAAGTTATATTGTTACATATCCATAGATTCACCACAAAAATTTGTGTGTTTAGAGTTCCTATTTGTAATACAAATTCTTATTTGAATTATTCATTTATTTGCTTTATTCATTTTATTCAAATCACTTGATTTATTTATTTTATTCATTTCATTTGTTTTATTCATTTTATTAGTTTTATTAGTTTTATTCATTTAATTCAACTAAACAAATGAAATAAATAATTTGAATAGAAACCCTAAAGATGTTTTATTTTCAGTTCATATATAAAATTTTTTGTTTCTGCAAACTTTTAAACTCTTATTGTTTCAGGCTCTAAAATACAATGCCATTGAGTAATTAAGTCTGTGCTTCCAGAAAAAAACTCATTCACTGGTTGTTATTAGATTAGAAATTAATAAATTTAATTCTAATAAGCAGTGCAAAAATTAGAATACCAGGAACTGCCAGTTAGTTTTTAGCCTAAGCTCTGAACAGTTTGGTTCAAATAAGGTTGTGGGCGAAACCTTCTTAGTAATTGCTGAAACCGCAGTAAAACTATATTAAATCTTATCAAAAATCCTGTTGAAAATATGCCGAAATGGTGAAACCTCAAAATGCAAAACTCTGCCAAAACTCTAATAAACAATTAATGTGTAACCTGCTGTAACCCTGCTGATTGATTTCTGGAGGAGTTTTGGCAAGCAACCTTAGGTTCAAAGAATAAACCAAAACCAAACAAAATTCTTTGGTTTGAACTAAAGATGTTAGCCAAAATGGTTTTTGAAAAAATCAATTTCGCAATTTCAGATTTACAATATTTTCATAATGATGGACATAAAAAAACTACCCAGAATTTTGGCTATTGAGTTAAAGTGTTCAAATATTTTTGAGTATAGTTGGCTCGGTCTAAAGACCTCCTAAATTTTGGGCAAATTTTAAAAATGTAGAAGTCACTTTTTGTCCTACCTTTTAAAAAAATAGCTCTATTAGTTGATAGAATATGTCTTTAGTTTTAATGTAAAAGAGAGATTTTCTCAAAAAAATTATTTGTTGTAGAGTTCTATTCTTTTTTAAAACATGACTTTACTATGCTCGTGAGGAATTTGTCCACTATGATCATTTCTAAATTTAGGAAAAAATATTACTAAATTTAGACTAGCTCTCGACTATCGTATCTAAATTTGGCAGTAAGAAAACTAAAATCACGTGAAGTCCTATTTTTTGAAAAATTTTGAACGAATTACAAAATTGCTATTTTGAAATTTGGCCATATGGCGCAGCAATAGGAGGTCTTTAGACCGAGCCAACCATAATAATTTATGACAAACAATTCGATTATAAAGTTAATTCAGTGGGTAAATACATTTAACACAACTTGCATTTCTTTTTAAAAACAAAATTCGTTTAAACAATTCTAAATCTAAACGTAATCTTTTTAGCAGTCAATAAATTTTCCCTGCAAGGTAAGTTCACTCTCATTATCATTACCGTCATCATTGCCATTAAAAGAAAATCATTATCAAATTTGGTCGCGAGATTCAAAATATTGTAACACGAAAATTATTGTTGTATTTTAAGCTAAACGTTAAAATATTACGCATCCCATATACAAATATTTATGTTTTTTTTAATATATATATTCATTTAAAAAATAATATCAATGAAATTCCTTTTAATTATAAATATTTTTGCAATAATTAACTGTAGTAATAGAACATAATTGATAAAACATACATAATATTTAAAAGATAATAATCAATGGGCTTGAATTTCAAAAATAGCAAACTACAGTTAATATTTATTATTAATGCATTTTCTAATTTTTGTGCCGATCGAAAATAAGAACTATATACTGTACATACATAGTTTGAAAACTAATATAATCATAAATATGAAATAATTACTGAATAGCAATGCTCCAAATACTTCTATCGGTATGAAATCTAATCTAACCAAACTGTAGTTGAGTAATAGTGGTTGTTATTAAGTTGTAATAATAGTTGATGTTGTCAAAATCATAGTGAATTTACTATTTAATGGCTTGGATTTCTATATTCAATACAGTTCGCTCTCTCTATAACGGCCCTCTATAACGGTCTCTATTCTATAACACACTCTAAATCAGAAACCAAATTTTTACTATATAAAAACCTTACTCTATAACGGTTTTCTTAATTAAATTTCCTATAGTGTATAACGGCCAGCCTCTGAAAATTCTCGTTGTTTTATATGAGACGGCATCATGATCTGAGGTAATCATTACCAAATTAAGAAATTCAGTGCGTCACACTCAATTATTAATATTAATAATTTGAACGCGCAGTACCCGTTGATGCCAAGGAATATATTTAAAGAAGCTTCAAACAGTTTATTATGGACAATCCTTAATGACATTGTCAACATTAATAATATTAATTTAAATTTTGTTAAAGTCAAGGGTCACAGTGGTGACCATTTTAACGACAAAGTGGATGAATTAGCCAGATTGACACATGGTTATGATTAATTACCAATAGCTTTTATTCCAGACAATTTATTCTCAATCTCATATACTCCACGTTGGAACAATATAATTGTAGAAAAGCATTTACGACATTTTATTACAGATTTATCAAGAAATCATGGTTTTGTACAATTTATTAACTTATACAGAAACAACAAATATCGTGAAGTAGATGTGGATTGGTGCTCCTCATTTGCTGCATTAAATGATGACGAAGTGTCAATAAATACATCGTTCAAGGCAAGTCTTATTAAAATTAGAAGGATCAAATATCTAACTAAAGAATTACCTACAGTGGAGCATGTTAAAAAAAGATGCCCTGACTTATATAAACATTGGAATTGTCCAATGTGTCATGATGAAATAGAAACTTTTGAACATGTATGGAAATGCAAAAGTCATAAAAATATTATAGATTCAATTATTTTTAACAACAAAAAACGTTTGGTTAAATTGGTTAAAATGTTTACAAACAACAAACAATTTTCA